TAAAGCTAGTGACAAATCTAGAGTGATAGCTACCTGCGCATACCGTGGATGTCCATGGAGAATACGTGCTTGGACAGCAGCAAATTGTTATAGTATGCATGTGTTTAATACTAAACTACAGGAAATCTTTCGAATCAGCCCAGATGTTTATTCTTACCTAAGTGCTATGACTTGTAAGTGGTCAAAAGCAACATTTTCGAAGCATATTAAGAATCACAACAACACCAATAACATGTCTGAATCCTTCAATTCATGGGTGGCAGAAGCAAGAAACAAGCCTGTAGTGGATCTTATCGACATGATAAGAGGTATGATGATGGAACAACGCTCTCAGCGGAAGTTAAACTCTTATTCTTGGAAGGGGCCTCTAGTTCCATTTGTAGAAGATTACATTAGAGAAATTACAACAAGGAAAGATAGTTTCATTATACGACAATCTACTTCAACCATAGCTGAGGTTGAATCCAGCTTTGAGCGTCATGAGGTCGACATAGACAACCACTTATGCAGTTGTGGATTTTGGGAGTTATCAGGATTACCTTGTGTGCACGCCGCAGCATTTGTTGGAACTAACCATCATACTATATGGCACACATATGTGAATGATAGCTATCATGTTAACAGGTACTCTTACTTATTCAATTTCATCATATGGTTATTGTTGTTCTTTGAGATCAAAACTTTTTTGTAGGTACCGAATGGCTTATGATGGAGCCATTTCAACACTTCCAGGGAAGGAACAATGGTCTATACCAATTGATGACAGCTTTGTTTGTCCACCTATTACAATAAGACCTCGTGGACGACCAAAGAAAAGACGCTTTAAGAACTTCTTGGAGGGTGCAAATAAATCCAAAAGAAGTCACAAATGTGGTCGATGCAATTCTTGGGGACATCATAGAAGTACTTGCAAGGAACCAATAACTTATGAAGGAGATGATATTCAGACTGGTTTCGCTTCAAAATTACCCATTCGGCGCTCCAATTATAATTCTGATCTTGATTAAAAATTCCAGCTCTACTTGCATTCTCGGACGTTGTTCTGTTTTTTGTTACAGAATTTTGTTCTATTTTTTGTTACAGAATTTTGTTCTGTTTTTTGGTACAGAATTTTGTTCTGTTTTTTGGTACAGAATTTTGTTCTGTTTTTTGCGATAGTTTTTTGCTTCAAAGAAGATATGGCTTATATGTTATTTCTGATAATAAATGACTGCTCAAGCTGAAATCAAATTATTAAATCAATTTGCTTCTCGGACGAATTGCCTTATGTGTTATTATGATAAATGACTGCTACTCATAATCTCGGAAAACATACAGTTTTATGCTTCTAGGACGAATTGGCTTAAGTGATATTCTGATAAATGACTGCAACTCTTAATCTCGGAGAACTTACAGTTTTTTGCTTCTCGGACGAATTTGCTTATGCTGTTTACTCTGAGTGAAAAGCAATCAAAATGTTTACAAGACAACAAGCAAAAAAAACATGCCATTCGCTAGAAATCATCCTTGTCTTACCATGATGTCGAATAAGTAGTTCAAGTTTGCATTGATTGAAAAAAAAATTTACATCGACTCATTCTTACATTCTTTTAGTAAAAGTTACAGTGACGCAAACTGACAACTACGCACAACTATATTTAATTACTATGAATGCTACAATAATATTAAGGAAAATCAGTATGACCATCAAGATTTTTAATTGTAACAACTCGGCTCTAACTGAAAGTACATGCATTGTACCACTT